TTAAAATTTAGTCTGTAATTAGAGCTCCCAAATGGCAGGAACATGGAGTATTTGTCCATTTTAATTAGATTGTTGTTTACCTATTAATTATATATCATATCTTGTCATATAGTTTTGATGGTAACAGATGGTGCTAGGAGTTAGTAAGGGTTTGAACAAAATAAGATTTCACATGATTTATTAAGTTGCACTTTATTAGTGAGTGGTCTGCTTTCGTCAGGTTATTCTGTGGAATAAGAAGTTTGAAACATTTCACTAATTTTGGTGATTACTCTCTATGTGAAAATATCGAACTTAACAATTCCAAAAAGTGCATTTTTTTTTCTTTTAGAGGAAGTTGTAATACACCTTGTATTTCTCCAAAGTTATTGCCTCTATACTATGCACATGACAGTAAACTTGCAGCTTCCCCTCCCCCCCCACCCCCCAAATTTTTTGCATAGGATTTTTTAGGAGCAATACCTCTTTTGTCTGCAAAGAATACTGCAGTTCTTTCAGAGGTGAAAGACCTGATTCAGCTATAGAAATTTTAGCTTCTGCACAGAATCAATTTTCAAATTTCAGTGGCTGAAAAACCCAACATCTCAATTTGTTCCTTGGTGCTTCCAAAATACAAATGTGTATACATACACAGCCATCTCTCCAACAAGCATTTAAATGTAAAAGGTAATTGAGATTTTTCAGAGTTCTTTGTTTGTAGACAAGCCATACCATATACCTTCACCCAGTATGTGAACATTTTTCCAGTTCTTTGGCAATATCTACTGCTGATGCAGTTCACCTAAATTCTTGTGTCCTGTATGAAATGTAAGTATGTCTTCTATCAAGCGATGTTTTGATGAAATTAGGACAGTTTACCCCACACTGAAAGCTATGTGCTCACATCTGGAAATCATGTAGTACCTTACTTGTGATATTTTGGAGTTCTCACTTAAACAGTCCCTTTTAAGACCTGCAACAGAGGAAAAGAAAATAAAATTGAAAAGAATGGAAATCTCTTCTGAGTTTTGGAACATTAAAAAAAGAGAAAGAGACTGAAAGAAATTTCAATTCACTTTATGACACAAGTGAAAAAGAGAGAAAATCAAAAAGATACTTAAGTAAATAAGATTGTCTAGTGGAGGTTAGAGGAAGAATATGTTATTTCTTGAAAAAGAGAGCCTTCAAATGGGTGAAGATTAAGGAGGCATGCATGAGATGTTGCTGAACAACGCTGGTAAGTGGACAGTAGCTTTCTCTATGGGGAGTTTGCACAGAAACTAATCAGCAATGGAGCTTAGCAGTGTGGTGTTTGTGGGTGGTTTAGTAGTGATTCAGGATTGTTTGAGCTTTTAATTCCACTTTATCATAGATCATTTGATCTATTCTAATTTTGGTCACCAGAGGAAAGAGATCAGCGACAAGTTTCTTAAGTCCAGGTCATTTCAGCAGCTCTCTGTTACAAAGCTGAGTAAATAAATCATTATTTTGTGGCAAAACAGTCTTCCTCTTTTCACTAGTTGCTTTCATGATACCTTGATAGCTTAATCCTCTTGGGGCATAATACTGTCTGAATAAATGAAGATCCTTTTCCTGTAATCCTCCCTTTTTTTATAAACTAATTACATATTTCTGTTTTCCTTCCTCCTTCCTAATTTCCCTCTGTCAAGTTAAAAAAACATGCACGATCATCAGAACTGTACCTGTTTCTTGACATTGACCATGACTTTAAAGAGATGGTAAGAGTCAAGAGCTTTGCTAGTGAAAAGTAAACAGATGGCCGCAGTACACACACTGATTTCAAGGCTTGCTTCAGTGGGCGACTTGACAAACAGTAGATCTACAAAACTGCCTCCTTGTTCTGGCACGCGCTTTGTCCTCACACCAGCAGCAACAGATGCTTGATGCTGACACTAGTTCGGTTTTTCCCCGCATAACTTTGGTCACATACTCTGAGTTGGATTCACTGTGACCTCTCTCTTGTTTCATAATTGTCCCCATTAGCATGATTGCTACCTTAAAAAGTATTGATAAGTATGTCTGTGTTCAAATCAACTGGAGGTGGGGTGAGTAGGGGGAGGTGTTTGGGAGTGTGTATGTATCTTGGATGTGTTCCCAAGCTGAGGATCGTTTTATCACCACCTACATCTAAAAAAGAACCACTATGCTGAAATTGTGCAGTTTGATTAGCTAGGAAGAGCTAAGTGACTTGGCCTATTGCCTCTTGTATGTGTGAAAAGATTACCTTCTAAAAATGCGACCTTTTATCCTCTTTTGCTCAGATCCTGGATTTTTCCCTGTGATTTGTAGAGCTGTGTTAATAACACAGAAAACGGCATTCAGTTGTTAGCAATGGAGATATAAGTGATTATAAAAACATTATCACAAGATAGAAGTAGTAAAAATATTCTACTTGCTGAGCTTGCACCATCAGAATTTATTTATACATTTTATGCAAAAATACAGGGTTAATTTTTTTTCCCTTTGACCCTGTATATCAAATGTGATAAAATATGCTATCCTGCAGCTAAAAGCAGATGGAAAAATAAATTGAAGAACAGCATTTAACTGCAGTCTTATCCTAGTTCATATAAAAAT